TTGGAGTTAGCAGATGGACTGAGGAGACAATTTTTTAATTTTAATCTGGCCAGCTAAGCTCTTTACCAGAGCTTGTCACACCGTTAACGGGCAGTCTAAACAAGGACAGTACCTTTCACACTTAATAAGAACATTTTTCATTGGCTCAATTTCCTCTCCTTTTTATTTTTTTTTTTAAACATGCTGGCCGAACTATAACTTCAAGTTAATATCTACATCCCCCATGATCTTCCTTATGAGCATCTTTGCTTCTCTTCTGCACATGTAGTTAAAATATTTGAGGTTTACAAAAACAGGATGATTGGCTTAGATCGTCACACCCATGTAAGTAGCACCAAAGCAATATTTCTTTGCTCTCTTATTTTTTTAACTGGCTTTACTAACAAAGCACTGCAGTACGAGATCAGACTAATGCAGAGAAACTTGTGTTGTTGTAACACTGTCCTTTACATAATCAGAATGGCTACTCCCCCTCCCAGAGAAGTGTTTGGCTCTCTTTCATCCCTAGTTAAACCTCATCCAACATGAGCTGTAAAAACAATACACCTGTACAGATACCAACTCTAGACAGCTGTTCAGTTAGTAAGCGAATGACTGCAGGTGTATTAAGAACACACAATAAGGCAAACGGGGCTCTCCCTTTGCAAGATACAATGGTGCAGCAACAGAATCGATCTCAGGATTCTTGCTTTGTGAGATGGAAGCTTAGCACAGAAGTGATAACGTCATGATGCCTTACCAAGTTAGCGAGTTCATTCAGATTGTAACAACAGTAATCAGTAGTCAAAGATTTCTCTTAATGTATAGGTTTCCAAACCATGGACTGTTAGAGTATTTGCTGGAGATCTGCAGAGAGCTGGCTTGTTCCACAGGAGACTATTTCCTTATTTAAAACTGTTACGCTGCAGTAAAACTAAAAAAAAAAAAAAGGTGCTCCTTAGTTTAGGAAGGTTACTTTTTCATTAAAAAATTGTGTTTATTACAAGGATATTATGCAGTCCTGAACAGAAGGCCCTCTGCATGATTGCAAATGGAAAGGGAGATGCATCCATAAACTATCAAACTACAAGAATAAGGTCTGCACTGTGAACAAATTGGAGAAACTCTGCCTTAAAAACTTTAATAATATAGACAAAAGCAGAATATGGTGAAGGGAACAGGCCCAGAAGGCGATCATTTAAAGGGTTGGCTGCCAAAGAAAAAAAAATTTGTGACAAAAATGACTCAGGGCTAGAAGAAAAAAGTGTAAGGAAAATAGAAGTATCACAGAAAAACTCTGTTGAAATGTTGACCAAATGATGACTGAAGGCTACAAATGTAACCCCTTCTATAAGCCTTCACATACTTCAAGGAAGAGAAGTGCTCTGGGCAATGCACCAAGGCCTATAACTAGAAGTAAACAGATTAATTAAAACAAAGGGAAAACTAGAAAATATGTCTTAGCAGTGAGATATGTTAGATTCATGGTGACATTGTCTCCCAAAATTAGATGACACTATTGTCAAAAGACAAAAGCAGACTAGATGGACCACTGATCTGATTACACATATAAATCCTCATTTCCCATATGAGACCTACTTGCACAATCCCTACTGTGACTGCACTTTACACGTGGGTGACACAAAGACCCAGAGTTCTCCACAAATTAGATCTTCCAAGTTTTCCTACACTTTTGTTGGTTTTGGCACAGGTAAGGTTTGAGCAAGGTTGGGGGGACATACTACAGTGCCAGGTTATTAAACACCTCATGCCAATAGTTTGAAAGTGCAGATCCTCAGCAGGCAAGTCAGCAAACTTCTTATAATGCCAATTTACACTAAATGAAGATCTGGCTCCAAATAGTTATTGCAACCACACGCATTACTGAAAACACATTAACCATCATTTTAAGGTATTTTACCATAAGCAAAGCAATTAATAATTTGAAAAAACGAATCTCTCTCAAGTACTATTGTGCATTTGAGAAGCATGACAGCTTAAACAAATTTGATTATAAAAACTACATTCATGCTGAAAAGATCTATTGTAAGCATCAGTTCAGGTTTTATGGGACAAGATTCAGGTGGCACCTCAGATTTTAAAATTAAAAAAAAAATAAAGCATATTTACTGTCATTAAACTTTAAATCCTTAAATACGAAGTTTTTGTGTGGGGAAGGAGAGGGGAGGGAAGAGGAAGGAAGGGGAAAGGGTTGTCTTTATGTACACAACCGTCTAGTGAATGCATTACCTCAACCTTCTAGCCCTGGTCAAAGAATAGAAGATTGTTGTTTCCCAAGGTCTTAAGAAAAACTCAACTGCTTACAGAATGAAGCAGTTGTGAATTGTAAAGATTTGTAATGGCAATCATAAATAATAAAGGCAAAAGTATTATTATTTAACATTATGTGAAGCAAAAGGAAGTATAGGTTTTAGGCCAGCATAAATTCAGGATTGCTTTTAGGTCTCCTTGAAAAAGAAACAAATATCACTGACTATGTTTTAGACCTAGCATGTTTTAGCTTCATGTCTTGCTTGTTTTTGTCTTTGACATGCATTTAAAGACTTAATAAGGCAGGCCAAATGTGTAAAACTAGTATAGAATGGTGTTATTTGTGATTGGAGACTACAGCTAAAGTGGACTCTGGTTATCGCTGCTTAACTAAGTAACTTACCGTATTTTATAAAGGTGATTTTTTTAATTTATTCTTTGATTTTACCATAACCCTACAGATATTCTATCTTAGCAGTAAACACGATTAAAGATATTCTGAGAAAAACATTGTGTAAATATCAGTATTTTACTCCTAAAACTTTCAGGGTCAGAAAAAAAAAAATTCCCTGAACCATTTCCAGCCAAACCACTTAGGATAAGAGTAGCAGAAATAATTAGAAAGGGAACAATTAGTTGGTTTGGCAAGACTTCTGACGTGTGCTATTTTAATGAAGCGTGTGTGGTATGCATAATTTTTTTTGGCATACACCAGAAACCTGTTGAATGTATAATCATAAATGCAAACACAGTATTATATATATATATATATAATTTTATTATAGACACAAAACAAAAATTCTTACTTTCAGCCTTAAAAATACAAAGAAGGTATAGAAAAGTTTCAGCTACAATTTCTGTGGAGTGAAAGAGATTATCAAGTATCAGAACAGAAACAAGCAAAATATACATCCAAATCAATTAACAATTCTAAGACCTGAGTTTCTGCTCCTTCTCTTCTCCCATTTCTGTCAGTGTCTTAACTTGTTGGTAAAAGTCTTGGTAATCAGCCACTAAACAAACTTTTTATTTATTAGGCTCTTACAAGTTTAGCAGCAAGGAGGGTCAGGGGAGGGAGGAGCAAATAAAGTCTTTCCACACTTCCATTTCTGTAGTTTAGTATTTGCCAAGCATTCAGCAATGCTTCCTTAGCTTGCATGTGTAGCACCAGAGATTGCCTGGTGGTTTCCTGCCCAAGCACTAGTCAGCGCTAGGACCACTCACCTGATATCAGATGAGATTGGGGATGCTCAGGCTACCGCTATTATAGGCCTACATGCTTTATGCTACATCTTAATCACTCTCAGTCATATATTACTGTAAACTTTTTAATTAAGAAAAAGTAACTGGGAAATGAAAGCCAACTAGATAAATCTAACCCTTCAAAATGTAGCTCACCAAAAAGGATTCCAATGGACAAGCCTAATTTTGAGTCTTTTTCTTTAAAATTGTTGATCTATTTATCATTTTCAATAAACAAACACAAACTAAACCATGACACCTGCATTTTCACCTTGGATGGCATTTTCAGCAGTTGATTAGTTTCGTTTGGGAACATTTTCCATGTACCCTTGTAAAGTCTTTGTTCCAATCTAGGCTACTAAGCGTAAACATAGAAACATAAGGTGTTTGGTCCTTGGGTGTGTGAACCAGCATCTATCCTCCTGCCATAACTAAGATGAGAATTATGCTGGTCTGCTTCTGTCCTGTGCACCCATGTCCCTCTCACTCTCTCCTTCCTTGTACAGTATAGTACCTGTCCACTGGAATGAGCCCATTTCAAGGTCAAGGCCCAGAAATTCAGTCTTGGGTAGGCCAAGCGAGGGCACAGCAGGTTTACATTCTCCAGACCAGTTGACGAACTCAGCAGGCCACAGACATTTAACTCCCACTTAATTTTGTCAATGTCAGTCTTCTGATGCTTTCCAAAGGCTGGTTCCGCTGGGTTGCTCTTGTCAGCTTCTGCAATTGCTGTTAAAACCTTCTCAGAAGACACCGCTGAACTTTTCTGAAATCTGTTCACTGGTGGCCCAGCATAGCCGAAGTTTGGTGATTCTTGGTTTAAAAGCAGCTATACTTTGTATATAGCATGAGTTTCTAAACCCTAGTGAAGCACCCTGGTCCCAATATTATATGTTCAGAGTATAACATTTTGCAATAACTGTACTCTTTGAACTAGCATTAGACTTCAGGGTGCATATCTGCTAAACCTGCGCTTGGAACTGGACATGGAGGGGGTAGGAACTATATGGGCGTAAGTGGCTTACCAGTTTGACCTACAAGGTAAGTTAGAGCATTCTCAGGGAAGCTCTAATTTCTGCTGTGTGCAGTGATCCATAAAGGGTGACTGCAGAAAACAGGGATATAGCCAAAGAATAGTGCCCGGTAACCTTTTACATCCATCACATGAGAAGGAGGTACAGGGATGCAGTGACACCTCAGCTAATCACTTGAGCCAGCTTTGAAAACTGCATTGTGCCAGCTGGCTGGCAGCAAGCAGCTTCGGTGGGCCCAAAAGTCTGTCTTAAAAATAATCTGGTACCTTTTCAAGCAAGGAACCGTGAACTTTTCAAATGCTTTTTTAAGAACTCAAGCACAACTACAACAGCTTTGTTCAAAATGAATTAGATAACCCCAACACTGGGGTTAGAAATAGATATGTACTGGGTACGTGAATTAAAAGTGAAAAGCTCTCCTTGCTTACAGTTAATACACTGGCTCTTCAGCAAAACTGAAAGGGAACAATCAAGTCCACAACTTTTAAAGCTTTTTAATTTCAAACACACTGGCATTCCTATTACACATTTCCATCATTAATCTATAAAGGATTCATAAGGTGGTGTTATAAAAGCTGGCTAATAAAAAGACTAGATTACCTTTGAAAAAGTGTACAAACACATCAATCTAAAGAAGCACAAATATTATTTTATGGTGGGAATCAATTAGTAATGCAGAAAAAAATGTATTTATAATTTTAGTGGGATCACCAGGAAAAATATGCATCAATTGAAAAGGCATAGTAAACAAGTACTATTCACATATCTTTACTTAATCTTTTATCCATCTGAACAATAAATAAACAAAAAAATCCCTTAGGTCTATAGTAATGTTGATACGATGGCTAGGGAGACAAAAGCTACACAGGCTTATGGAGGCTAAGAGCGATGATCTATGCAACTAAGAAAAGTTGCTCAATGGTCAAAAGAAACTAGAGTTAAGCGCTGAAATGTGTATTTACTGCTTCAATTAAGCTAACTGCAGGCAGGTAGAAGGTAACAGCCCTCAGCCAGCTAATAAGCCTATTTTTAAATGTTTTTTCTTCCCCCTGTAAGGCAACTCCTGGTGTGAATAATAATGCTAAGTGAAAAAAATGAACAGCAGTGACCAACTCCTCCTGCTGCTCTAATTAAGAGAATGGCATTATAGTGATATATACCAGCTGAAGATCTGTTCCTAAATCTGGCTACTGGGACTATCTGTCACCCTTAAGGACCTCCCTTAACTTTCATTTTAGCTCTGCCATTCACTTTCAGCTTTCAAAGCTGAAATGTCACTTTAAGGCTGTGATTAAAATGTAGTCCTTTCAAAGGCAACTGCAAAATGTACTTCTTTACCATGGAGAACAGGGGAAAGCACCCTAGGTGACCATGTACTAAAAGGTTATTAAAACTTTCTGGGGCTAGTTTCTCTTCGAAAATGGCATAAATATCCATCTAGCCAATCACTTGTTAGCTTATCACATAAAAGGCCCAATCCAAACCTTCAGTACTTTTACTCAGTGTGATTCAACATGACTAAGTAAAACTCCAATAAGTAAAACTTCTAAATATAGACTTACTTGTTTGCCAGCTTGGGCCCAAAATACCTATGCACATTTTTAAGACACATTACAACCCTGAATACAGCAGGCCTTTGGAGTAAAGCCATGTGCATACAGTTCTCATTAAAGCACCTAAAACCAATTTGAGACCGACACCTGATTACCTTGTGGACAGAAGTCTCATCGCATCAAAGACATACAAGTCAGGCAGGTAGGGTTTACTGCACTGTCTGGCTTTTGCACCAGGATACATCCATAATTTAAAAGCACAAGCTTTTTCCAACCTGTGGTTAAGAAAAACTATACTTGAAAATTCAAGAAAGGAGTCCACATTTCACCTGCAAAGGCTTCAAGCTTTATCCTGAAGCAAATGCTTTCAGTTTCCTTATAAGTTAAGTTTTATGATGGAAACACTAAAATAGCGAGCTCAGCTCTCAACAGGCATGCAGCTATTCATGTCAGAAAGTATAAACAAATAATAATAAAAATATATCAAAAGAGATATCTCTAAAGAGATTCATTACTATATTCTTAAAATAAAGAAATACACAGTATTCATACTATATATGAGAACTGCAAGGCAGAGTATTACAACATAGGGATGAGATCTTCTCACCAAGCATGACGACTATATGTTCACTCAAATCTGAGTTGTGTGCATGTGCACACAACAGTGAGGAACAGACTCTACAGGATTAAAGAACTTTCCCATCTTTGTGGTACATACCTCTATGCTGCTCTCATATACCAAATAAAAATTCATTTAGGCGAATATTTGTTAATTTTAAATTACATATTTACACTGTATCTACAAAGCCTCAACCCAAACCCCACATCCTACAATTCAAGCAAAAAGTCCTGGAACAAATTTACCAACAGACAAACAAAAATACTATGTGGTTTTCCTTTTTTGCAAAGCAGGCACAACCCAGGTGCTGCTAAGCAGTTTTCCAGTCACACTGTACAGAAATGTCTCTTCCAGGTTTGCCAGAGCAGATTCTTTAGCTGCTGCTGCCACCTTGCTGTCGCAAGTGCAATTGCAAGATGAGATCTTGAATTTCTTCCCTTTTGTTTTTCACCACCCGACGAGGGAACCAACGCTCCAAGTGCATGGGCTGCTCAAAGTTAATGATAGGATTCTGGTGACAGAAAGAGAGAAGTTTATAGCAAGGATCTTTAAAGAGATCTTTACTCAAATAACAGCTTTCCCACACAATCTCCAAAGTGTGCCACTGCTGAGAATGGACAGCATTATAAAACCTTTTGCTAGGGAGGAGGACTGTAAATGAAGAGTTTGTCACATATAGGCTCCTGCAAGTTGTGCAAACTGAATGATGAAGAAGAACTAGCATAATAAGCCCATCTGTCTCCCTTGATGGATTCTTGGCTAGTGAAGAAATAAGAATGACTCTGGAGTTCAGGACACCAGTGGGAGAGACTGTAGGATAAGGGTAAGACTTTTTGCCCTGTGGCACCAGAAACCATGCTTGGGATAGATTGCCTGCACTGGTACTGTGCCCAATGTTCCACAGTCCACTTGCAGAAATGGAGAATACATAGAGTGCAGTGGGCCCTAATCACCTAGGGTTGCCTGGAGGCCACAAATTAGCTGCCACAAACCCAGAATTGGGGGCTAGGGGGCAGTGGGGAATGCAACTTTAATTACCTTCCTTCACTAGAAGGAAACTGTGATATCCACGTGTTACATTTTAATGGGGGGGGGGAAAAAAAGATAAGAGTATAAAAAAGCACCTGATGAAATTACTAGGAAATTAGCTGTTCAGAAAGAATTATACTGAACTTCAGCTCATGCCTATGCAGCAGCATATATTTCTCTGCACAAAGACTTGCCAGAGGGCTGAGGCGCAACCCATGAGTTTATATGCAAAAGTCACTAGGTGAGAAATACAAGAAGGATAAGCACAGGCTCCAAACATGTCAGAACAGCTAGGAATCTTCAGGTAAGCCAGGGGAAAAACCAGTGTCACAGCCAGAAACCTCTACAAAGAGAGAAGTGGGAGGTCAGCTGCATAGAGCCTAGCTCCAAAACATCTGTTCTTAGGTTAAGAATGGATTTTCTCTTTGTTTACTCAAAGAGAATAATGCATTAACTCTGATTATTATACTTTTCAGAGACATTTGAGGATTTCAGTCAGAGTGACATAATTTTTTCCATACTGTACCTGGAAAAAGGCTTCCACATACTGCAGTAAATATACCCCACAATCACTGCTGTTATCCTGTTTAGGGACTCTAGGACAGAAATCAATCATTGTTGATTTGCCGAACTCCCGGTGGGTTTTTCGTTTAACTTCCCATTCTATTTCCAGGTACCTAAAATGAAAACAGGTTAGATAAAATATTCACATAATGATTCTCTCATTCAGCCCTTTTGAGGGTATTACTCAGAACTTTCCTAGAAATAGGAAAACATCACAAATTTTCTAATGGTGCAGTATTTTGTTATATATTATACTCCATTTAAGTGTATAACCTTCCAACTGAAAACACTACATGCTTACCTGGGGCATACACTTATTTGAACTTAAACTCATTAAATAATATACAGCACTGTTAATACTGTGGTACCGGCAGTCCTAAACTGACTAGCTTCCTTCATTTAAAAGACTTTTGATGGCTCCTTCCCTTTCTCTGTTTCTGATGCAGTTATATGGAGTATAATTAGTACAAAATAGTTACCATTACAGTTAGCTTGTTAATGGAGTGCAGTTAAGTTACTAAGATACTGAAAAATCATGAATTTAAGCAGTCTGTGCACTTAATCAATATGCAGACAAATGGAGTTTGTTAACTATGAGCCACGTTCAACAAACAGGAACCAGCTCTGTGTAAAGTAGTTAAGCAAATTATGTACTTGTCCAGCATTCAGGTAAATAAAGTACATCATATTCATGGATGTCCCTACCAAATTATTTACATTAGGCATGTCACATATATGATCTGTGGGTTGGATCCAGCCCATGGAGCTGCCTCATTAAGACCAAGGTGTGGTAAGCTCTGGGCATGGCCTACTGAAAAATGTGGGGTCCTGTGGCCCCAGTAGACATGGCCGTTGAGACCACGGGGCTGTGCAGCTCAACATAGACCTAGGAGACCCTGTGGTCTTTTGGGACATCTATACATGTTCCAGGGTGGAGGTAGGGGGTGGTGTTTTAATTAGAGCAGCTCACAGGAACTGCTTTAATTAAAATGCCCAAAGTGTCTTGTGTACTCAGCACCCCACACTTTAACTAAAGCCTGCTCAACAAGCTTTAGTTAAAGTGCCCCTGCTGCCATTTTGAAATGTGGGGATGCTGAATACGTGATGGTGAGGCTGCTGGAGCATTCTAATTAGAACGCGTCAGAGCAGGCATCCAACCTGTGTACAGACACCCTGGGGCCTGCTGCTGCTTGCACCCTTCTGCCAGATCAAGTACCCAACTAGCCCATAGCTGCTTGCCACAAATGCCACCCCCATAGCTGCCATCACTGCTGCAGCCATTGCAACTGTGGTGGCCACCTCATTCCCCCAGGCCAGATCCAGCTCAGGACCCCAAGCGAGTTTGACACCCGTACTTTCTATAATGTTTGAGACAGCCATGGTAGATGTAGTCTTATGGAGAAGGCAACTCTGATCAGCTCCCTGTACAATGGTTAATGAAGCCATTAAGACACTTTGGAACTTCTTAAACCCATACACCTCAAGAAACTGTAATCATCCTGTAAACTTCATGTTGGCAGCATACCAGTATATATGGTATACACTATAGCTTTCAAGCTGGCAGGCAGCCCTTTTTATAATTTATCCACAATGCTTCAGGGATTGTTGTAATTTACAGATGTGTTAGGCTGGCCACAAGGAGGCTTCCCTGCTACCTTCTGACACCAATAAACTGAAAGGATCCAGAGTTCAGATGAAAGTTGGCTTTGATTTACTGTGGACCTGACTGCCATCTCCTCCTACAAGAAACATGACAGGAAGGGAACCTGTGAAGAAAAAGTTCAAAGGTTCCTTTAGAAGAATTTTCTCCAGTGTTGGTGATGTGGAGTGAGGTTTGCCTCTCCCCGTTCACAGTACTATGTTCAGGTCCCAAACTTCATAGGTCCCACATCCCTGCAGGAGCATTTAATTTAAAACTACTTCACAATTCCCTGTGGCCCTCCCTGGCTTGTTGCTGCTATGCTCTACTAGAAACATGCTTACAAGACTCCTCCTGGCAGCAGCAACCTAGAGGTCTCTGACTAGGGGCATTCCAAAGCACAGTCTATTTACTTTTGAATAGGAGTCTGATGGTGGGAAGATTTTTAATGTCTATGTATGGATATTTGGCATCTAGGAAGTCCTGTGTGTGCCCAGAGCAGGAAGGTGATATCACAGAATTCACTGTCCCTTGACCAATCCCAGGACAGTGTGACCAGGGTTTAAATTGCACAGAGATGTAATCTGTGCATGCCACTAGGTCATCTTCTTTTTGCTGTATTTGCTTGAGTGAATACAACCAGTTTCAAGCTAGCTATTTAATATGGTCAATAAGGTGTTTATTTTAAAAAGATTTTGGGGGGCATTATATTAATTAGTTCTGTGCAAAACTACTGAAAAGATACAGTGTCAATACAGCTGTTGAAATGACACTATCCAAGATTACACAAAATCCTGTCATTTTTATCTGTAGCTTCTACACAGATACTTGTAGCAATGCTGCTATTCTAACATGCCATAAACCACTACTTCAACTCAACACAATCACCTCATATACAATTCTTCCCTCTGCCCCCCCCAGTACTTTCAATAAAGAATACTGAGTTTGCAGACTTCATTCCAATGCTCAACAGATAAAAAAAAAAGTCTAAACATATTCTTAGTCTTGCCTTCCAGGCTATTTATATGTGCTTTAATGCAATTAAAACAGTATGCCAAATTTTCAGCTAGCCAAATCTGGTATCATACTTCAACTCCTTGCAAAAAGGACAATCATGTAATCATGCATACAATGTTGCACCAGGGCAATTATTCACTCAAAAGAAATGAGCACTTTTTACAAACTGGCCATTTAAAAAGAACACTTGCAGATTTAAAAAAGAAACTTCTCATCTGTGTTACTAACAAAACACTCCTACTATTAAAACACAGAATTTGAAAAATCTGCTATTCCTTCTACCATTAATTTTTCCCCTAATGCACTATATCAGGGGTTGGCAACCCCCGGCATGCATGCTGAGCATGGCACGCAAAGCCATTTTCCAGAAGCTGTTTGTAGCCTCCTGGCTGCAGCTGGCCCAGGTTCTGAGTAGCTGCTGATAGCCACAGAGCCTGGGCTGCTCCCATCAGCCAACTGGGAGAATGGAAGTCCTGCTGCAACTAGCCTCTCTGTGCACTGCTGCTTTGGGTTGCACACGCTGTGCTCTGGAGGGCCCAGGGGAGGGCAGCAGGGCTGGGAGCGCAGTGTGTGCAACCCAGAGTGGCAGTGCACAGAGGGGCTGCACAGGAAAGCTGCCTGCTGCTGCAAGCTCCGTGCTGCCCTGGTCACACTTCCCCTGTGTGCACGGGAGCATCATGGATGCCACGCAGGGCTGTGCCGCTCACTGCTGCCCCTGCCTGCAGGGGAAGCATGGCCAGGGCTGTGGGGAGCTCGGAGAGGCAGGCAGCTTTCTGCGCCCCCCACTGAGCCCTGCCATGCTGAATTCCACACGCTGCTCTGCAGAAGCGGGGGCAAGGGCACCATCGCCAGTATCTGCTGCCTCCTTGGGGCTGGGAGGCAGCCAGGCCGGAGCAGCAGCAGCTGTTTGCAGCCTCCCGCCTGTAGTGGGCCCAGGTTCTGGGTAGCTGTTGATAGCCACACAACCTGGGCTGGGGGTCAGGGACTTTGGGTGTGGGGCAAGGGGCACAAGCAAGGCATCCTGCCATGTACCCTCTGCCCTTGTTTTGTTTTTCTGGCACTCTGGCACCTTCCAAGGTAGGCATGGGGGGGGGGGGGGGGGG